ATTCACACAGCGATGCACAGCATCGGGAACAATTTGCGGTTCAGTATCTTGCTCAAGGATACTTCGACATGTGGCGGCAAGAGCCGGGGATCAAACCACAACCGATTAGAGGATGACCCACTATTCCTCTGAGCCACAGCCAACCGGAAAGTCGATGAAGCTAGACTTTGGCTGCATTCACACAAAATCCAGAAATTTAAAAATAAATAATAGTGAAAATAAAATTTGATTTCTCTGATTCACTGTTTTGTTTTTGCTAACATCGCTACCTCTCCTCATTCATTCTCTATGTAGATCGAACAAAGGTCTCCCCAGGAGCCAACTTTGAAAATCGCGCTTGCAGACAAATCCTGCCTTTAAGGTTGTCATACTCAAAATTGTCATCATTAAAGCATCTAAAGAAAACGATTCTTGGAAAACAAAGTTTAGTGTATCATTATGCCGTAAATTGTAGCCACAGTAGTGACTTGTCTTTAAAAGTTACACAGTCTTGCTTTAAGGCCCGATTTTTATGCCAGTGCAAACTCATTCTTAGCACAAATACAGTTGCAATGCAGTCTACATCATAAAGTAGTGCACATGTTTATGCCTCCAATGGAACCACTTTTGCATAGGTAGGTGCAGCCAAGGTTGTATTTAGATGCAGATTAGCTTCATTTTAAGTATAGTATAGGTAATCCAAGCAAAGAATGATTAAAAGGCCAATCATTGCAATTGTAAAAATGAGGCTCACTCCCTCAGCAGTGTGTGACATAATTTGCAAACTGGACAACACAAAGAGAAAGAAAAATATTTCAAGACTCTAGCATCAAGAATCCAACAACGCCACTCAACCTGTTTCCTTCAATGATGAGCGGTTTCTCTGGAGGCGTGGTAGACTTAGAGGTCATGGCGATGTCCTGAGGATCCCTGGGTAGGAGTGGGGAAGACGGGGAGGTGGGAGGGGAGGTGCCAAACATGTCACTAGTGTCTGGGACGTCCAGCACCCTTCTCCTCCGACTGACCGCAGGACTAGGAGCAATGAGGCTGGGCTGGCCTGCAGGCTCCAAGACATTACCGTAGTTACCTGAGAGGGAGACAAATGTAGAAGAAGGTTTGTTTATGTGTCACCAGCCACATAAATACAATACAGTAAAACAGTAAAGCCAATAATTCTACTAAATAAGTAGTAGTATTAATAAGTAGTATGCTAAAATGAGAATGACAGGGTTGGAACTAGACTAGAAAATAAACAAGTGCTATAAAATGTCATTGTTCTAGGAATTAAACCTTCTCTGATTTTATGATTGGCTTCAGTGATAGTTACAGGGTAGACAAAATAACAATACCCTGCAACCAACTGAATACCACTTTAAGTTTCTATCAGAAAGAGCTCAGAACAGTGGATTTGACGACTCACCCAGGGAGAACTCGAAGGTGATGGGCTTGTCGCCGATCTTCCTGTCAATCATGGTGGCTTCAAAGACCGCCCCAAACAGCAGAAACGTCTCTTTGTTGTTTGCATTCAGCTGGACAGAGAAAGTTGGCCATTTATTATCACTTTTCCATGTCATAATAAGAGGCATTTCCATGACATCTTCATCCTTTGGAGACCTCATCTGGTGTGTGCAATCTTTACCTTTGTGTATTTATCACAAAGTTTAAACTTAATTTGCCCACATGGGTAACAGTGAGCTAAAGTTCCAAATTACAATTTGCAGAACCATGATGAAACCTTTAACAGTTTGAGACCATTTACTTTTGATTTAGTAATTTCTCTCTCAATTTTGAATGGATTCAGAAAATATGGTGCAGTGTTCTGATCTCAATTCCAACTTTGAAATGTTTCTGTGTTGGGGAAAATCAAAGGACCAGTGTGGAAGATTTAGTGGAATCTAGCGGTGAACCCTGCTCGCCTTCCAAACATGTAGGACAAACTACTGCGGCCATGAAAAAGGTGAAAGGCCCATCTAGAACCAGTGTTTTGATTGTCTGTTCTGGGCTACTGTAGAAACATAGCGGTTTAACATGGTGGACTGTAGAAGAAGACCTGCTCACTGTGTTGATTAAAAAGGCTCATTCTAAAGTAACAAAAACACGATTCTTGTTTTCAGGAGATTATACACTAATGAAAACATACCTATAAAAATGTTATTCCATTTGTTCCAATAGACCCTTCTAAATGTTACACACTGGACCTTAGGACGATACCAGGACGATATTATTACAATAAATCTCTTTCTTTTTACCTCAGGAGGAGATTCCACAGGCAGCACCTCTGCTGCTGCGGCTTTTCCTTTGTCTTCGTCAGCAGCTCCGCCTGCTCCTCCTCCCGCTCCTCCTCCTGCGGGAGTCTTTCCATCCTTCCCTCCAGCTTTCCCTGCTTTAGCGTCCTTCACTGGTTTGACCATTCTGGTGAGTTTGGACTCCGAACCCGTCCCTCCTGATAGGATCTCCACTGCCAGCTCCATGTAGACCCGACCCCTGACACCCGCAAAAATTGGATAGCTTGTTGTTGGTTAATTATTCATCTATCAAATTTTCTCAGAATAAAAATATTTGAATAATCATCCTTTAACATTGACCTGTAAGACACGCCTTCTCCAATGCCCTCATTCAGCTCCACTGTGTCATCGCCTAATGAAAAGTTTCGGGCAGAGCCGTACAGGTTAATCCAAGCAGGGCCAAAAGTTGGCAAAAACCCTGGAGAAAGAGAAAAAGATGGAGAGAACGTAACATAATGACTCTTCCTACCTGGACTATGATCCCTATCTTTTACTTGGTTTACTCCTTTCTCATTTTTTCTTTCCCTCATTGTCTTTTCCTCTCACCTTCATCTCTCCTTACCTCTGTCACCATCCTGTTCATTGGAAATGCGTCTCAAGTCAAAGTAATGGGTTCCTATGGCAACATCACTCATGCTTCCCTCATCCCAAACCTACAAAGAGAGAGAAGGACAGAATCCTGTGACATTTTTGTTATGTTTAATGTAATTGTACATTAAATTGTGAAATTTGCATGAAGCCAGTCTCTCCCCTCCCACATGATAATCAGACCTGGATCTTTAATCTCTGACACAGAGGGGGAAACATCTCTGTGAAGACGATCTGCTCATTCCACACTGGGTCTGCTGTGGACTTTTGAGTTGATGTGCGACCCTGAGAGGCAAGGAAAGGTTTGACTTGCATAAAACAACTTACACTGAATTCCGAACATGAGACACTCATAGGAATTGGACAACAATTCAGAAACCTGTACACAGCTGCTGTGAACTTCATATTTAACCCACCACTTGTTTGAAGAAGCTAACCACCACATATGGGTCTATGAGTGCTGTGTTTTCTCCTATAAAGGCCTTGGTGACATTGGCCATGATGCTGGAGTTGTTCCGTGGAAGGCCTTCAGCTCGATATACCTTCACACAAAAACGAGCCCAGGGCCGCTCAGAGGGAAACCCTTCTGGTACCAGCAGGTTCCTGAGGAAAAGGACATCACAGCAACATGCAAATATATTTCAACCCCACCAAAACGTATTCATAAAGCTTTTTTAACAACTAGGTTTATCAGCAACACATTACTGCAAGATTACACGTCAAAAGCCTTGCTAATAACTCTAAGGGACTGCAATATTCCTTACATCAAATTATAATATATCTCATGCAAAGAGAGAGTTCATCCTCTGGTGTGCATGGATATGCAAAGTAAATCAGCCTGCAGGATCTTAGAATCTACTGCATGCAAGGGGAAATGTTAGCTCTATGTTGGAACATAAGCTCACAGGGTTACCAAAATAACTAGGATCCATCCTCTGGGGACCATAAGTATTCACAAAAATGTATGTGCTTCTTGGGTTGATTGGCCAAATGTTACCCTGAAATAGCAGAGTGTCATCTGCATATAAAGAGAAACAATATGACACTAGAACAAGGTATAAAGTCAAATTAGCATAAATGCATAACAGTCTCAGTGGAGAATAGTTCTTCTTGAATAATATAACATTTTTTACATGTCTATTGTATATTATTATATACATTTCTTCAAATTTCACCTGGATATTATTTGGAATATTTGGATTTTTAGATTTTTACAATTTAAAATAAAGAATAAAATAAGATGAATATCATACTTATCTATCTGCTCATCAGCATCGCTTGCTTTTGGTCCTGGCTGCATGGCGTCTCCCTTTGCTGAGACACTAATGTCACACTTGACATAACCTTTGACCCCAGTGCCAATGTCACCAGGATTGGTCAGCATTGCCCACTTATTAATGAACTGGTGACCTGAGGGGAGCAAAAAAAGAGACAGAAGGGTGACCACAGGGCAGAAAAGTGAAGTGAAGCTGTCATCAATGTGTCCCTGTGCAAGGTATTTCCCCAAACTACTGTAGTAGAAATTATCATTTTTGGCTATTGCCCCACACATGAACAAAGAGGTGAAACTTGGTTTAAACTTTGGAGCATCAGCTTTCACATCAATTTGAGAGCAATGTGCAACTCTGTTAACCTCTTCCCAAGAGACATACCTGGCTGTTTGTAGACTGTCCACACATCCAGCTTAAAGGACCCAATACAGAAACTCCTCAGCATTTTAGAGTGCATCACCTGGATACATAACGATACAGAAAGATACAGAAAAAAAACAATTTATGAATATGACTGTAGATGACACGTTTTAGGAAATACTAATTTACAGACCAGGGACATCATTTATAAAACAGACTTTAGAAATTTAGATCTTAAGTAGGACTTAAAACCTTATTTATAAAACCTTACTTTGACATTGAAATCCTATATCTAAGCAAAGTCTAGACTTGACGCAGATCTTCCTGCCAATTATGTAGGGCTATTGCACATTGTCTGTAGTGAACTTCACATTAGTCTTATGAACTATTAATTAAAGGTGTAAGGAAGGAATTGCCAAATTAAAAACAGGATGGGATGTTCATTAAATAGTGTGTCAAATTAGATTATTATATAAGGGGAAATCACTGATTGTAAGGTAGGTGCCTGTGTAAGGCTTCTTCTAGCAAGGTTGTTTACGCAGTATCTTTTAAGTCAAACGTATGCCCAATGTCGGAAATTAAATTTAGAATAAGTTCAAGTATAAATAAGAACATTTTTTATAAATGAGGCCCACTGACTGAAAAGAGTATAAGCATGTAGACTGAATTTGTCATTTACGATGCTAGACCTGCTGTCACCTAAAACTCATCTTTGAAATGCTCCTTTGCAGTTTTTTTACTCACCGTTAGCTTGATGATTTTGTCGAAGAAGACCTCTTTGTGGGCAAAGAAGTCAAACACAAAATACTAATGGACAGAAAACAGGTGGACAATAATAGGGACAATGAGGCACAAAGGCTTAAAAGACACAGATAATTCAAATGTGGTCTTTCAAATCTGTGGGTTTTTCAGGTTTATTTATTCTTACCTCATTGTAAAAGGGGGCATTAGTTCCTTCTTTGACTGAAGTCTGTTTCTTCTCATCTCCGATCTCAATCACCACACTGGGGTCAATGTTTTCTCCCACCAGCTGCCTGGCCTCTGTGATGTTAATGGCAATCTATGAGACAGACACATGTTACATACTACTGCACAGATGAAAGATTTTGTCAGAATGGATTCCCAATTAGGCCTGAAAAAGACTTTATATATTTACTGACATATGTCACATTCTGCAAAGCAGATTATTATAGTTATATTGTGCATATTTTCCTTGTGTGCTGTTGAGTCTTTTTCTTTTTTGTCTATATGCATAAAAATAGTCAGTTGTGTTGTCTTTAATTGCCTTCCTAAGTCCCGCACCTTTTTGCTCCATGCTCCAATAACAGTTGAGCAAGCCGCGACCAGAACCTCTCCTTTTTCCTGTACTTGATACCATTGATGTATTAATGGAGAACTGAATACAGTATTGGAGGCAGGGCTCTGCTCAGTGGCACATGAAGCCAGAAAAGTTTGATTTCCCGGTATAAAATTGCCCAGATCTTCCGCATATGATACCACATTGTGTGGCCCATAGAGGAAGGGCACTAGAGACTTCCACTGGCCAAGGTTTAGACCTCCGCTAACTTGAATGGGGAATAAATGGCTTAATGGTGCAGATCTTCTAGACTTTCCAAATGTTTTTGGACCGAATGGAAGACCGAATCTGATTGCGCGAGTTGTGACACTTATAAAACATTTAGCCACCGTTTTACAGCCAATTGTTTCACAATGTAAGCTTATAGGAAAAAGTCTTTTGGGGCCAGTGTGCATTACGTGATAGACGCCATTGCTGTAGTTACACAATTTGGATATGCTATGTGTTAGGCTCTTCTATGTGGACATTTTGAAAATGATAAAAGGATAAACGTGACATATAGTCACATCTTAAGTTAGCTAATGTTACTTAACTGCTAGCTAACTAACGATAGATGTAAATTATCTAGCCGTTAGCTAGCGTTTTTGCTAACATTAGCTATCAGATGTAACTAGCTAGCTAATCTACATTAATTACTAGCTAACAATTGTAAACAAATGTAAATTAGCTAGCTAAGTTAGTTACATCTAGGTAGCGTTTTGCATTACATTACGTAAGTTGTGACTATGTCATAGCAAATCTATGTACAGGAAAGGAGAAAGCGGACCGAGGTTCTGACCAAGGCTCGCTCAAAGCACAGGGCAAAAAGGGGGATGAGACTCAGGAAGAGTAATTCCTGTTTTCTCCTCTGATGACTACTGCTTCTACTGTATGTTCCCTTGAGAATTTCTTAAGTTTAATATAAAAATATAAGCATAAGTTTGTGCTCTGTGTGTTGTTACCTGAAAGCTCTGTGGTTTCCCTTCGTTGTCCTGGATGCGAGTTTTCAGTTTGGCCCTGTGAAAGTTTCACTGTCCAGGTCAGTGTCTCAATCTGATTATTAACAGTCATATATACAGAAATATATGCCTGTATATTACAGTTACTCAGTAAACTGCCACCCAGAGTGCTTATCATAGCACAGTCAAGCACAAGAGACAGAGCGCTCACTGACTTACAGTCACTGCCGTTATAACCACCAAGATGAAAGAAATCTGGACACAGTGGTGACTAGTTTGCCAAATTTGCCATTTGTGCCTCTTAAATATTCTCACTATCTGCTCCCAGATACTCTATACAGCAGTTATGTAGTGTGAATGCTTCATACCTCTTATTGTTTGGTACTATTCTGGTTCTGACTGCAGAGGTTCCTGGTTGATCCTCAGGGTTTTCTCCCTCCAGCAGGGAAGATGCTTCTGAAGGCACCTCCACCTCACTGTCTGTACACACACACACACACACGTTTTATTTACTCATTTAACCAAGACAATTAAAGTCAATAAAACCAGATATAAATGGTTTTAAATACCTGTCTAACTACACTTACTGGGAGCTTTACGTTAGTGGAAAAAGTCAGTGAGGTTGTTCTATACATGATTGCAAATCTTGGCAAACAGTGTGATGTCTTGGCTTTTAAGCTAACTAGCACTAGCAACAGTAACACAGAGGGGTGGATGCTGGTGTCTGAAAATAAAGTATTTTTACTTTACTTGTTGTGGTAAAGGTGTCTCTAAAATGACTTTGGAATAGTCAATAATAGGCAGATAATTCATGTCAGACTGAGTCTATGCTCATTAACCCCACTCACACATCCTGTTGGATGTAGAAACATTTGAAACCACAGAAGAAAATGGCCGTCTTCAAATCATTTCACAGGACCTTTATTAGCACGCTAGATAAATGACATCCTGTGATAAATGATGTCCTGTGTTGTCTTTGAAAACCTAAATTACCCATAATTACTGTCACTGTGTACAGCAGTATTCAACATATGACTGTTTGACAAGGGTTAGTCTCACCAACAGTGACATGACAGGTTCACTGTAAATACAACAATGTGTGTGTGTGTGTGTGTGTGTGTGTGTGTGTGTGTGTTTTTCAGGCCTTACCCACAGCTCCCTTGTTTGCCAGGACCAGGTCTGTGTTGGCTTTCTTTTTCTTCTTCACTTTCAAGCCAAACATCATCTTGGCCTTTCTGCTCACAGAAGAGGAAGACTTTTAATCACTCAAATCTTATTATCAACCCGATCTAAATGGCCCTCATAGAGCTGTAATTGTGTGTGAGGGTGAATAATGTTTTTTATATCATCCGCCATATTCAAGGGCAATACCAAACAGTGGAATGTTCTTTCAAATCAAACAAACAGTGCATACGGAAAGTATTCACAGAAAATGATGTATGCTGGCTGATGGTTCTATAGCCAGGTGCTCTTCTTCATTTTTGCTGAAATTGAATTCTAATGAAGCTCCAGCAGCAAAGCAACTTTGGTGTTGACCTAGTTTCTGTTCCTGTTGGCCATTTTAATACTAGTGAATGACATAATAGCTTAGAGTGGGGGACATGTAACTAGGTACATTTAATAAAGTACTTGCACTCAATGGTCCACTGTGGTAAACATTTAGGAGGATCTATGCAGAATGGAATATAATATTATTCAATTAGGTATGTTTTTATTAGTGTATAATCACCCGAATATAAGAAGCATTGTGTTTCTGTTACCTGTAAATGAGCGCTTTTATCCTACAAAGTGAGGGTCCTCTTCTACAGATCGCCATGTTGACCACCATGTTTCTACCAGAAGCCCAGAACAGACAAACCAAACACGGCCTCCTGATACGGTTTTTTGGCACGTTCACGGCCACCGTAAGTTCGCCTACATCTGATGGTGGTTGCTATTTGCATATCTGTCAAATTCACCACGAGATGCCACTAAATCCTACACACAAACAGATTAAGTCAGGGTTGGGTTGGCACCCTAAGGGCACTTTTTATGTTTTATATACCATGGGCATCCAAGAGGGCACTTTTGGCCGTGTCCCACCAGTGGTTGGTACAAACAAACATCATGAGGTGGCTCCCGTTGGTAATTGTGAGGGCATGTTCTCACTAATTGTCCTGATGTTTATAAACTGAACAATCTGATTAATGGAAAAAGAATAAGCCAGGTTTACAGTCTGTAAAATAATTTAAATGGCCCACAACAAGAACAGCAGGGACTCCAGAATTTCAGAAACTAGCACTAGTCACTACTTACTTTCTGTGATAGTGAACATGACCACAGCAATCACTGGTGCTGCAGCCAACTTCATCTGTTTTTAGACAATTAAAACAATTCAATCGCAGTATAAAGAGATACATTGAGCAATCCAGTGAATATTCTTTTTGGTCAAGTGGCTGTATATAAGGCGCTTACAAAGAAAAAAATATTTATTGTTTTAGCAGTTTATACCCTACATCAGAGAGAACATGTATTTTATAGATTTTTCAAGTGTTTATTCAGTTATATTTTGCTTTTTTTTTTAATCTTAGATAATCGATATGTGAACCCAGTATGTAATGGATGTTGTCTCAAATTATGAGTTGAGTCTATCGTTAAAGCCCTGCTTGTTCCTAAGGCTTTTTCGCTTCAGTCCCAGTAATAATCATACTAAGCAGTGCATACGGAAAGTATTCACAGCGCCTCCACGTTTTCCACATTCATTATGTTACAGCCTTATTCCAAAATGGATTCAAATTCCATTTTTTCCTCAAAAGTCTACACTACACATGCTATTTCACACTAGAGTAGTCCTGAAGCCACTCCCATTTCGATACTCTTGGCTGTGTGCTAGTCCGTTGTCCCTGTTTGAAAGATGAACTGCGTCCAGGTCTGAGGCAAGCCCTCGGAGCAGGTTTTTCTTCCAGGACTGTCTCTGGTACATTGCTGCATTGATCTTTCCCTCAATCAGACTGTCCTCCCAGTTCCGGCCGCTGAAAACATACCCACCACATGCTTCACTGTAGGGATGTATTCGGCCAGGTGATGACAGTGCCTGGTGTCCTCCAAACATAACCTTGGCAATTCACGCCAAAGAGTTCGATCCTTGAATCATCCAGACAGAGAATTTTGTTTCTCATGGGTCTGAGAGTCTTTCATGTGCCTTTTGGCAAACTCCCCAAGCGGGCTGTCATGTGCTTTTACTAAGGAGTGGCTTTCGTCTGGCCACTCTACCATACAGGCCTATTGGTGGAGTGCTCAGAGATGGGTTGTCCCTTCTGGAAGGTTCTCCTCTCCAAACAGAGGAACCCTCTGTAGCTCTGTCAGGGTGACCAATCCGGTTATTGGTCACCTCCCTAACTAAAGCCCTTCTCCCCCCGATCACTCAGTTTAAGGGACGGCCAGCTCTAGAGAGTCCTGGTGTTCCAAACTTCTTCCATTTACCAGATGATGCGAGGCACTGTGCTCATTGGGACCTTGAAAGCAGCAGAACTTTTTTATCTGTCCCTTCCCCAGATCTGTGCCTCGAGACAATCCTGTCTCGGAGGTCTACAGTCAATTCTTCGAGCTTCATGCTTTGTTTTTGGGCACTGGCATGCACTGTTTAACTGTGGACCTTATATAGACAGATGTGTGGCCTTCCCAAATCATGTTCCAATCAACTGAATTTACCACAAGTGGATCCATTAAGCGGCAGAAAACATCTCAAGGATGATCAGTGGAAACAGAATGCCCTGAGCTCAATTTTGAGTGATTTTTTTAAAGTCATTATGGGGTATTATGGGTAAATTTGAGGAAAAAAATAAATTGAATCCCATTTTGGAAAAAGCCTGTAACATAACAAATGTGGAAAAAGTTAAGCG